TGGGCGCTGTCCCTCAGCTCTTCAGCTCAAGGCTAGCACTCTACCACTTGAGCCACAGCGCCACTTCCGGCTTTTTCTGTTTATGTGGTGCTGAGGAATCAAACCCAGGGTCTCGAGCATGCAAGGCAAGTGCTCTACCACTGAGCCACCTTCCCAGCCCATGTTTGAACTTTTTTCATAGCAGAGGAATCTAGTGTGACAGAGCTAATCTTCTAAGATTGGCTACTACCAATAGATGACAAAAAAAAACTCTATTTTTCTAAGATGCTAACAGACAAGGAATAAGTTAATCAAGCTAACAAGAAAAGGACAAAGAGTAGAGAGTACACTGTGTGCTCAGTTGTGGAAACTATGTTAAAATTGAATATAAATAAGCCATGGATGACTTACATTGTATGTGTTCAAGAATTGAAAAGGATGAATTGGTATATTAGTCTACTTTTTTCAATTTAATATGACTCCATTTCACTAGTACAAATAATGTTTGCTTAATAGACTAAGTAGAAACTTTTATCATGTTTCCAGCTTAGCCAGGAAGAGTCAGATGGTCAATACAGTCTGCAAATGGAAGAAGTAATAAATATTAGAATTTCCTGATTAAATATCTTAGTTTCTAGCCATTGTACTCTCTGTACAGAGAAGCTTACCGCTTTCCCTTCTGGGGAGTCAAATGTCAGAAATCTGAGATCAGAATCTGTCTCCAAGGGCCGCTCCAGATCATAAGGTTCACCGTTCACTTGAGCAGCCACTGCAGTATCAGCCAGTGTTGAACTTCAGCAGGGGGGTGGGGGGTGGAAATGAAGAAAAGTCAAGGTTACAACACACAGGGGAGAGGCCAGTATCCCAGTGAGTCAGTGAGTCTATCTTCAAAAGGAAAATGAGTTTCTAGAATATTAAAACTTATTTTTTCCCTTAATGTACAATACAACTCTGAAGCTGGTGAAAATTTAAATAATTTAATATACATACATATCTCAAGGGGGAAACACACACAACACATACACACCTTGATGGGGACAAAATACAATCAAGCAGACCAAATTTTCTTTCCCTAGTCAGGTGCAGTGGAACTCAAGGGACAGGGGGCCTGATACCTGATCTGCTGGGCTAGTTGATACGGGGTTGTATTCCAGGCCACAGCATCCACTTTCTGGCCTCCAGGAAGTGAAATCTTAATCGTCCGGGGCTCGTTCTGTGCCATATTTGCCAACCTCTTTACTTGAGCAGCCCATAGCTCCTCAAAAAGGCCAAATCGCTCGCTCAACCAATGTGGAGGGGAAGGCACAGATGCCTGAAGGGAAAGACACGTTAGGAAGTTTAACACATCCTACGGCTCCTCTGGATTGGGGGTGGATTTATGGTTAAGTGCCCTGAGCCACTAATCCCAGGGCTTTTAGGAGGACTGGGTGCTACAGGGTCTTAGGCCTGGGAGGGCCCTAGGAGAGGGCTAGGGTGGCCTCCTCCCGTGATCTGAGAGCGCAGGCGCGAGGAGTATGACATTAGGACAAGAGCCTACACGCTGGGCTTTGGTTGGGTTCGATGGCTCGTTTGGAACTTTCGGGTACCTCACGCACCGTGTGTAACTCGCAGGCTTGCGATCGCGGGAGCCGGAGCCAGAAAGTCCGCCACTTCCGATACAACCCCATGTTCCTTCAAACCGGTGCCGGCGCCCTTAGATTAGCGGAGCTTCTCCTCAGCTAGATTCCTAATTGGCTCCCACACCAACAACATCCCCGCCTATTGGCCACCGAGATGCCACTCGAGTCTGGCACGCCCTCCGAGGAACTCCAAAAGGCACACCCTACACAACACAAGCAGCCTCGAGAATAGTTCCCGGCTGCCCGGAAGATGGAAATTGTTACACACACCTGCAATTTCCCCCAACCCGCCACATTTCAGCTGACAGCTCCAAGTAGCAGTAAGGTGTCCTGCCGCTGAGTAAGTAGAATTTTTAATAGAGGGAGAGGAAACAGACCGGAAATGATAGTAATTGCCCTTTAGTCCTAATGTTTTTAATATATGATCCTTAGGACAAGCAAGCAGACAGGCAACAAGAGCAGAGATTTTTGAACCAGACATATAAACAAATATAAACAAACCCTGGACCTGTCAATAAGTAATTTTTGTAAATAATTTAATTTACCTGAATTTTGTTTTCCCATCTACAAAACAAGTATAAATTGATGCTCGGAATGTGGTTTAGTGATAGAGTGCTTGCTTAGCATGCATGAAACCCTGGGTTCGAATCCTCAGTACCACATAAACAGAAAAAGCCGGAAGTGGTGCTGTGGTTCAAGAGGAGGAGTACTAGCCTTGAATTAAACAACAAAAACAACAACAAAAAACTCAGGGACAGTGCCCAGGCCCTGAGTTCAAGCCCTAGGACTGGCAATAAAATAAATAAATAAATAAAGTAATTCAATTGTCTAAGTAAAATTTATGTAAATCGTCTAGCATAGTGCTTGGTATAAGATAATAGACATCAACAGAAGCCATTGTAATAAATGGATATAACAATTTTAAGGCTAGAACAAAGAACCTGAACTGTTTTTTTTTGTTTGTTTGTTTTTTTCTCTGTTTTGTCCGTTGTGTGCGGCTTGACCTCAGGGCCTGCCCCTGAACTCTTCTTAAGAGTGGTGCTCTACCACTTTGAGCCACAGTACCACTTCCGGTGTTCTGGTGTTAATGAGGAATTGGAGATAAGAGTCTCACTTCCTGCCTGGGCTGGCTTCAATCTTAAGATCTCAGCCTACCCAGCAGCAAGGATCACAAGTGTGAACCACCAGCCCCGGGCTGAACAGGTCATTTCTTAGAATCCCTTCCTACTCTTGGTGCTTAAAGATTTTTTTTTTTGCCAGTTCTGAGGCTTAAACTCTGAACCTGGGCTGTGTCTCTGAGTTCCTTTTGCTCAAGGCTAGCATTCTACCACTTGAGTCACAGAGCCACTTCCGCCTTTTTCTGTTGGGGATTAGATAGCTAGGATTACAGTCATAGTAGTGCAGACCTATTAATCTCTTTTTTTTTTTTTTTGTCCGTGGTGGAGCTTGAACTCTGGGCCTGGGTGCTGTCCTTCAGATCTTCAGCTCAAGGCAGCTCTCTACCACTTGGGCCACAGTGCCACTTCTGGTCTTTTCTGTTTATGTGGTGCGGAGGAATAAAACCGAGGGCCTCATGCATGCAAGGCAAGCATTCTACCACTGAGTCACCTTTCCAGCTCCAAGACATCTTAATCTTACTGATGTGGAATTTAAGGTCAGAGATGATAAATGACTTAAAGCTTACCAGCACAGGGCACTGTTGACTCATGCCTGTAATCCTACTAAAGAGACTGAGATCTGACAATCACAGTTCAATATCAACCCAGCAGGCAAAGTCCATGCAATTCTTTTTTTTTGGGGGGGGGTCCGGTCGTGGGCCTGAACTCTGGGCCTGGGCGCTGTCCCTCAGCTCTTCAGCTCAAGGCTAGTGCTCTACCACTTGAGCCACAGCGCCACTTCCGGCTTTTTCTGCTTATGTGGTGCTGAGGAATCGAACCCAGGGCCTCATGCACTCTAACACTGAGCCACCTTTCCAGCCCCTAAGATTGATTTAATGTAATACATACTTGAACACTGTCTTGAACACATTGTTTAGCCTTTCTGAATTTTTTTGTCTTAGTAACATAAAACTATTTGCCTTGTACTATTGATGCAGTCAATAAGATATATTTTCTTTACTTTCCCCCTCTACCATCCTGGTATTAGGGTATTAAGCCCAAGGCCCTAATTATGCTCTACCCCTGGGCTACATCCCAGTATATACACTCAGGCTGGGGCTCACACCTAGGGCCTTGCACATGCTATCATACACTCTATCACTAAGCTCTGTCCCAAGTCCTCCTTTGTTTGTGCCTGGCCTGGGCACTGTCACAGCTTCTACTTCTAGGTTTTTGCTGGTTAACTGGAAATAAGAGTGTTATAGGCTTTCCCACCTTAGCTGCCTTTGAATTGCGATCCTCAGAAATTAGCTTCCTGAGTAGCCAAGATTACAGGCATGAGCCATTGGTCCCTGGCATGAAAATTTCTTGATGTCACTAAATGTTTAAGAAAACAAAACAAGGGGCTGGGAAGGTGGCTCAATGGTAGAGTGCTTGCCTCGCATGCATGAGGCTCTGGGTTTGATTCCTCAGCACCAGATAAACAGAAAAAGCCAGAAGTGGCCCTGTGGCTCAAGTAGTAGAGCACTAACCTTGAACTGAAGAGCTGAGGGACAGTGCCCAGGCCCAAAGTTCAAGCCCCACGACCAACAAAAAAACCCAAAACAACAACAACAACAACAAAAACCCTCTAAGCAAGATCCCTAGAAGTTTACCTTAGGCCCATAGAAGGCACCATCTCCAGGGTTCAGGTCCCAGGGTTCTCCAAATTCCTCCAAGGCCCGCTGAAGGATCTGTAGAGGAAATGAACTCTCAGCCCCCGAAAATTCACGAGTAAGACACCCCTCCAATCCCATAGGCCCGCCCCCCCTCACCTTCCACTGGAGAGTGGTTTATGTGCCTCTGCTTCCTGACTCCTGCTCACCTGTTCAGCCTGCTCCCAAAGGCTGGGCTCCCCTAGGAAGCCAGATGGCCGGGTGGATAACGCCAGGCGGAAGGAGAAGCCAAGGACTTGATACACAGAACGGAGGAAATCAAGGCAGCCTTGGATTTCTGCTTCCAGCTAGAGGCAGGAAATAGGGGTAGAGGTAGGTTATGGGCTAGCCAGACACCTGAGGTAATGGTAGTTTGGGCAAGACAGGGCAAAATTAGAGAGGAAGCAGAAGAAAGTTGGGAGCAGAAAGTGGACACATTTGGTAGTATACAGAAAGAAAATGAGTATCAGGGTAGTCCAAGGTACGCAGAGAGAATGACAAGTGTTCCCGACATGCTTTGGGGGAGCTGGGGAAGGGCAACCTGATCTGGCGCACAGAAGATATGCGCATCATCCTGCTGGAAGCGCCACAGCCGGGTCAGCCCTCCCAGGCTGCCAGAGGCTTCTGCTCGATGCAGGACTCCAAAGTCAGCCAGGCGAACGGGCAGCTCCCGCCAAGATCTGGGCCGGTGGGCGAACATCAGGCTGAGGTCGGGGTGGGGAAGGATTAGGGCCACAGGGAGAACTAGCCCTAAAAAAGGCTATTTCTCTGCACTTTCAGCTAGCACCCCTTCCATCTTAACATACACATATATGTCTTGTCAAGCTCACCCGTCACAGACTGATTGGTGTCTGGTCCAAAAGTCAATCTCTTAGTTACCCAGAAATAATTATCACTGCAGGGTGCCGGTGGCTCACACCTGTAATCCTAGCTACTCAGGAGGCTGAGATCTGCAGATCCCGGTTCAAAGCCAGCCCGGGCAGAAAGTCCTTGACAGTCTTATCTCCAAATAACCACCAGAAAACTGGAAGTGCTGTGGCTCAAGGGGTAGAGTGCTCGCCTTGAGCTGAAGAGCTGAGGGACAGCCCCTTGGCCCAGAGTTCAAGCCCCACAATCGATCAAAAAAAAACAATCCAAAAAACTAATTATCATTTACTGGCCTGTTTTATGATGGACACTGAGCCTTGATGTTACTTAAAAGGGGACAGAGAGCCAAGAGCTGGCATGATTTTACCAACGTTAGCGTCAAGGCAGATTCAAGGCTCACATTAGATGTCCTATTCTTTCTGGTATTTTACGTTTAGCAACCCAAGTCCCAGGAAGACTCATCCAGGCCTCTTCGCTCCCAGCTCACCAGTGTGCAGGGCAGTTCATGGGCTTGAGGGCAAGTGTGTCTACGGGAGGCCCGGCAGAGTGGCCACTCTGGGCACTGGCAGCCCTGTTTGTGCCTGGGGGCTGCAGGGTGAACATGTCTTCCTTGTAATGCTCCCAGTGGCCTGATAGTTGCCAGAGTTTTGTAGAGAACAGTGTAGGAGTTCTGACTTCTGAGAACCCACGGCGGGCATATTCAGCCTGGTAAGGAGGATATAGAAGGGAGGTCAGTGAAACGCAAGGAGATGAAGCAGGGAAGCAGCTGGGTAATTTTCCTGGGGTCTCAGACCATACTGATAACAAACAAGCTATTATGTAGCAAGTCCCATTCTCTATAGTCTCCCCTAACTACAGAACACACAACTGTACTGCCTTACCAAAGTCAACAGCACTTTACAATGTTTATGGTTATACTCTTAATACTAAAACAGGGTTTCATTGTCGTAGCTCAGGCTGGCCTCAAATTCACACTCTTCCTGCCCTAGCTCACACAAGGCTAGGATTGCAGGCATGTGTCATTATGTCTGGCTCAATCCTCTTTTTACCTCAAAATCCTTGGTTTAGCGTACCCCTAGTCTTCCCCAATGGACTTAGGTGCCTCTTACCCTAATAAAGGCCACTAGAGCATTATACACCCTTGTTCCTCTTGGCAGGAAGAAGCAGCTCCCAGGGCTCAGTTCATGGAAGAAGAAGAGCTCCTGCTCCTGGGAACAGAATGCCAACTATCACTTCAAGGAGGAAAAGGCTTTAAAAGCAGAAGAAATGAATGACAGGGTTGTTCAATATGTTTGACTAGATTGGCTCCAACTTCACAATCAGATTCCTTCCTCCCTCCACCACCTCTCTTTTCTCCATTCCCGCCATGGTTCCCAAGTTCTGTACCTTGCCAATGCGCCTGTGGTCCCGCAACAAGGCTTCTTCCTTTTGTGTTTCCCAGTCCCTTAGCAGCTCTGCTGTGGGAAAGGAAATGCCTGACACTCTCTGCAGTATCTCAGGAGCCCCTGAGGATCTCCACAAGGAGGCTGAGTTCTGTGACAGGACAGAGGGAACATGAGGAGGACTGAAAGTGGGTGACCTTTCTCTCTATCCTTATAGGTCTTTCTTGATGGAAGCCATCACAAGAATGGTCCTTGATGACAATCCCATCCTATCGCCTACCCGAGGCTGGCAGCTGCATCTTCTGGATTGTCCTGGCTACATTTAGCCTTAGTTTTATCTGACTCAGGCCTAATCTTAACCAGTGATCTTTTTTTCTCCCCAGTCTCACTGTCGTATCAGCATCCCTATACTTTCTTCTATTACTGTCTAATCAATGACTGCTTAGAGGGGTAACTCAATTCTGGTCAAATGGCAGTCTATTTATCTATCCCTTACCAAGGCCCCATAGAACTTCAGTAAGGTCACCTTTCCACACCACATTCTGTTCATAGCCACATGAAACACAAAAGCTGTTATGCTTTTTTAAAACAACAATACTAGTACTGCATTTTTTAGTCCTATTCCTTAAATATTGCTACTACATTAGTTGGTTTCACTTTATAGGTGGAAACATAGTCAAGATTTACCCAAAGCCATGTAGCACATTAGTGGCAGAGTGGGTTAAGTAGATGGCCAGGTTTTCCATGGAGGGCTTTATGCTGTACATAAGCCATTGCCTACTGCTATTTTTTTTTTTGCTAGTCCTGGGGCTTTGAACTCAGGGCCTGGGCATTGTCCCTGAGATTCTTTTTGCTCAAGGCTAGCACTCTACCACTTGAGCCACAGCACCATTTCCAGCCTTTTCTATTTAGGTGGTGGTGAGGAATTGAACCCAGGACTTCATGCATGCGAGGCAAGCACTCTCCCACTAAGCCATATTTCTAGTCTCTTTCTTCCTTCTTCTTTTCCTTCCTTCAAGCTTCCTTCCTTCTTTTCTTTTCTTTTTGTCCATGTGTAGCTTGAACTCAGGGCCTGGACACTGTCCTTGAGCTTTTTCACTCACAGCTAGCACTCTACCACTTCGAGCTACAGTGCCATTTCTGGTCTTCTGGTAGTTAATTGGAGACATCTCATGGACTTTTTTGCCCTGGCTAGCTTCGGACCACAATCCTCAGATGTCAGCCTCCTGAGTAGCTGGGATTACAGGCCTGAGCCAGCAGCGCACAGCTTCATGATGTATTTTCATTGAAGGCATGATTGTGTTTTAGAGTATTCTTCTGGTGCTGGTCAAGATGGTATTTATCTATTTTCCATATTCCCTCTCTACAGATACCTTCCCTATATGACCCTATCTAGCCTGTTCTATGTCATTTCCTGTATGACCCTAATTAGTCTGCTCCATCTTTCTTCCAAGACTCTACTCTGATCATCTCCCTTAATAAAGCTGTAAGACTAGGGAATTCAAATTGACTTCAGGGGGCCTGGGAAGGTGGCTCAATGGTAGAGTGCTTGCCTCATATGCATGAGGCTCTGGGCTCGATTCCTTAGCACCACATAAGCAGAGAAGGCCTGAAGTGGTGCTGTGGCTCAAGTGGTAGAGTGCTAGCCTTGAGCTGAAGAGCTGAAGGACAGTGTCCAGGCCCACAGTTCAAGCCCCATTACCGACAAAAAAAAAAAAAAAAAAAGACTTCAGGGCTTTGGCAGGGTGTCCATTATCTGCTATCATACAGGAGACTTTAGAATGTGGGGATAAGTCTCTATCCTTCTGAATTCTCTCCTTAGCCATGAGAGCAGAGAAGAGCTAGGAGAAAGAATCAGCTTCTTACTCTCTTGCTTTCTCCTATGAAAACAGCAGCATCCATCTAACTTCACTCTCACAACTGACCGTTAGAAGCTTCAGCCCTCCGATCTGTCCAGTGTGCCGAAGGTGGGGGCCCCGGCAAAGATCAACCAACATGCCACACCTGGGAGAAAGAGGAAGTCAGTCAGCGGTGTCCAGATTCTTGACTGTCTAGCTTTCCCCTTCATGGGTATTTAACTAACAGAAAACAGGTAAAGATGAAGAAACTGTCCTACAGGCAGAGGGAGAAATAACTAATCAAAATCAATTCCTTTTCACATTTTTTTCCCTGGCTTTTTTTTATTCTGTGTCTCTGATTCTGTTTTCCTTAATCTTGACAGTTGCTCACCCATACACTGTTGCTGTCGGACCTGCTACTTTCTCCTGGATCAGACGGAGCTTAAAGGGGTTATCCTGGAAGAAAACAGAACAGAAGAGTGAAGCTACAAAGATGTTCTAGAGAAAGTTATCCTTTCCCTAACACCTCCATCTTCCTCCTAAATTGATACTGTCAGCACACCTTGAAGAGCTGCTGAAGCTGATCCCGAGATACCTCCAGCCTCCGGAAGGGTTGCGAAGCAGCTGCAATCTCCCGGCAAATCTGCTCCAGAACAGACAACTCTGAGCCCTGGACTGTCCTGGAAAAGGGAGAATGTGCTTGATTTCTGCTAAGAGGCAACACAAGAGTAAAGTCCTGCCCGCCAAGAAAAAAGACTATAACTACTGGTAAAGACAGACAGACCCAGAGAAAAAAGATAAATTGGCAATCAGTTTTAGTTTTTCCTTCCTTTCCGTTCTCTCTCTCTTTTTGGTATAGTGCTGGAGATGAAATACAGGGTATATATTTTATAGCCAGAGGGAAGCTCTTCACATAAAGTTAATAGTTGAGTGCAAGCTGGAAACAGTTGCTTGTCTGTAATCCTAGCTACTTGGGAGGCATAGATTGGAGAATCTCGATTTGAGGACAGCTTGGGCTGAACGAGGTAGAGTATACCTGTTATCACAGGTATGGGGTGGGTGCATTTGTGTAAGCTGTTTTACCTATCAACAGGGACAGGTATAAGGAGGAACATCCCAGCAAAGGTTGTGATTTATGCCTGGGCATAGATTAAGACCTACCTTAAAAGTAACTTTTGAAGCACGGCACCAGTGGCTGTAATCTCAGCTATTCAGGAGGCTGAGATCTAAGGATCAGGTTCAAAGCCAGCCCAGGCAGACTGAAAGTCCGTGGAATTCTTTTTTTTTGGTCCAGTCGTGGGGCCTGAACTCTGGGCCTGGGCGCTTTCCCTCAGCTCTTCAGCTCAAGGCTAGCGCTCTACCACTTGAGCTACAGCACCACTTCCAGCTTTTTTCTTATGTGGTACTGAGGAATCAAACCCAGGGCCTCATGCATGCAAGGCAAGCGCTCTACCACTGAGCCACCTTCCTAGCCCCATCCATGGGATTCTT